CGGTTGCTTAAAGAGGATCGCTCGTGTTTGGTGGCAACATCGAGTTAATAGTAATGACGTTCGACGTCGCATCTTGTGGAATGCAAGTATTCCATTCAACAAACTGGTTTTGTTGCGCCAGTTAAGATGGTTCGGTCACGTCCTACGTATGGCACCTGAGCGTCTACCGCGTCGCGCTCTATTCACTCGTCCCGAACACTCGAGACCCTCTCGATAGATATTTGCTGTTTATCGGAAACGCGCCTGCAAAATTCGAGCTCCGTACTTACCCTACGATCCGCTACACGCGACACTGGCGGCACATTCTCATTGCGACTGTCTGGCGATGACGCAGATTCAAATGCATGTCAAGTTGACGTCAGCATTATTTTTAATCGCCGAGCTGAAGCTGCCTTGATCGACTGAATCCTAGTTAGTAGCCGGATGTGCGCCGTTAGATTAGCTGTCTCCTTCCAGGCTCCGAAGTCGCGCGCGGACAAACGGTGCCTGTTTGTCATTGCGGCTTACACCCCCACAAACTGCAGCCCTGCTTCCGTGAAAGATAATTTTTATCACCGACTTAATTATCTCCTTTGTTAAAAATGAAGCATGGATACTGTGGTGTTGGATGGTGATCTAAGCGCTCAAGTCGGAAAATTGTCCTCTGATGAGCTTCATCTGAGCGGCCAACATGGTGTAGACTCCCGTAACGATAATGGTGAGTGATTGCTACAGCTGTGTGAAGATACTCGTCACTTCGTCGCGAGCACTAACTTTCGACACAGCACCCGCAGAAGTGTGACTTGGCGCCCACTAGCCTCGGACCAGCCATAGACGCAAATGGAGCACATTGTGATTAATTACCGCTGGAGTTGCTGTCGCTTCATTTTGGGGCAGCAACGTGGACTCCGATCAGGTTCTTGTGTGCCGACCTTCGGGTGCCTCCCGTCCGACGTCCGCAACGTCGCTCTGATTGCATTGACACCAGCCGATTGGCGAAGCCAGGTGTTCTGAATGCGTATCAAGTTACGCTGGTATCCGTGTTGAGTAAGCGCCCACTGAATACCACTGAAGATCACTGGATGCACATTCGGCAAACGTCACTATCAGCAGGCAGGTCTTCATGCGGCAAATCAAATTGCCAACCTAGACATTGGGTCTCTACTCTGTCTCTGGGACTTATGGATACTCGCCAAAGTATTCCGGCTGGAAGCGAATACAGTGAGACTCGCAAAAACCTCAGGACGCAACTGCGTGCTAGCTTGAAGAGAGACCGCGAAGCCTGGTGGTCTACTCATGCATCGGAGATGGAAACTGCCGCTGCCGTTGATAATCACCGTAGGTTATCCCGTCTGATACAGGAGACAGGCAACAGATCTGGTGTTAGCGAGACCATACGCGAAGAGAGTGAAAAGCCGATCCACAGCCTGTCAAAACGCTTGGAGCGTTGGGCCGAACACTTTGCAAGGTAGTTTAACTAATCTGAGTTATCACTTCCTTTTTCGGGCATTGAGTGGCATTCTCCATGGGCCGTCACTTTAGATCCGCTTTCTCGCGCAGAAGTAGAACGTAAAGTCAGATTGTTGAAAGTGCATAGGGTCACAGGGGCAGATAAAATTTCCCCCGCCCTCTTCAAATTCGAGGGACCTGCTCTGGTAGCCGGTTTACACGAGTCGTTAATGGAACTTTGGAAGTGGGAAACTGTTTCGACAGACTGGAGCCACTCCGTCACTGTCCCAATTTTCAAGAGGAGCGTCCGTTCAGAATGCGGCAATCATAGTGGGATCAGTCTGATCTCGAGTGCCTCTAAATTGATTGCGTCTGTTTTTCTGCATAAACTGACTGGCACTCGTGAAACCCAGATCCGTGAACACCAAGCCGGGTTTCGTCGAGGTCGGGGCTGCATCGACAACGAATTCATCAAGCGTCAATTTTTGGAACAACGCCATGTTTAGTGGCGACCCACCGTAGTCAGATTTCCCGACATGAAAGCTGTCTTTATTTCTGTTGATCTAGGTACCGTTTGGGACTGCCTGCTGAGAAAAGATGTTCCCGATAAATAGGTAAACATTATATAATAACTGGACGCGTATAGTTCGAGCAGAGTGAAGGTCTATGGCAAACTGTTGCCACCCTTCAATATCTCCAACGGTGTGAGACAAGCTTGACCGCTGTCACCTTTCCTATTTACCTTCACTATTGACGAGGTCATGTAGACAGCATTCGCTGTCTACTTCCTGGTGAACGGCTTCTTGACTTGGAGTTTGTGACAGCTCTCAAACGCACAAAACAGCACTGAAGCGATTAGCACTGGCTGTCAAACGTTTTGGGCAATACTTTGCTCCATTGAAATGCAAAGTACTTCTCCAAGAGTGGCAGGAACCCACCCCTGCATTGACCCTTGGTTGTGATCAGCTAGAAGTCGTTCAGAAGCTCAAGTACCTGGGCAGCTATGTTAGCGCCCGTGGGATCGAAGCTGAGATTACGAATCGTATAGCAAAAGCTCGAAGTGCTTTTGCCAATCACCACCACCTGTGGCGCAGACGCGACATCATTATCGCCTGGAAGGGCAGAGGTTAAAATGCAAACGTCCGTTCAACCACCTCATACGGCTGTGAATCCTGGCCCATCAGGTCGACAGACATAGAGTCCAGTCACCTTAGACCATCGCTGCCTTCGCAGCTTAGCTCATATCTGGCGGGAGCACCGCGTGAGTAATGAGCGTGTTCAGCATCGCGTATTTGGTGCAAGAAGAGCTAATGAACCGCTCAGCACCATTATATCATGCACCAGGCTCCGAAAACTGGGCTACATGTTGCGCATGCCAGCACACCGACTCCCGCGACGTGCATTGTTTACGCGCCGGGGATGTGGTTAGAAGAGGAGGAAGGGAGACCAAGCGATGACTTGGTCGAAAGAAATGAAACCCCTCGCTACGAATTTAGTGTCGGTTGGTGCGTCTTCGCTGCCTGGTTGCAGTCCGAAGGATGATGAACACGTTTACTTGGACACACTTGCTGATGTGAGGAAGAGCTGGTCCCATTGGCGTTTGTGTTGTGAGTTTCTTTATCCACCCCGCCCTTTTAGATTCGCTTCCAATTCCCATCTCATACACTTTACATAATATAATAGTTAACAGCACTTTACCTGCTTTTGCATTTGTTTGTAGTGTAACTTTTGTATCCTACATTTTTGTATTGCAGCACATTAGTTGGGGTGTTTCTCACCCGCAAGTAAGATGTTTTGATGATGCTGATGAATGATGTGTTTAAACAATGGTCAAGAAACAAACGATGGCGTAAAGAAAGCAGTCGGCTGAGAATTGTAGCAAAATATATCTGTCCATTAAGTATCCCCTAACATCTCCCACTTTTAATAATTACCTGAGGGATGTATAGCTTTTCCCTCGGAGATCCACTTGGAATGGCTGTACAAATCGCCTTCTTCTTTTCGGTCTCCCTTGAGTGCACTGTCCGGAGAAATCCATCGGTTTGCCACTGTCCAGTATTTTAGTAAAAGCAAGTTCGTCGGCGTAAGATGTCACTGTGTTCTTTGTGTAGCGCATGGTGGATCTACAACTGCGTACCGACACGGATTTCATACATCACCCGACCACGGCGCCGTTCGACGCCTCTAGATATCCATTTTATCCTGTTTCCCTGCTGAGAGACGACAAACACCCGGTCTCCTACTTCAAAAGCCCTGCACCGCGCTCCATGTCGCCTATTGTACTGGGTTTCCAGTAGGGGATTCGTACGTCGGGTCGGTTAGCTTTTGAGTGTCAGTAAAACCAGTTTTTCTTAGTCTTGTGCCCATAAATGTTTTCACAGGAGACTTCCCATCTGGAGCATTTTTGTTCGGCGTAACTTAGTAATTCAGTAACTAGGTCTCTAGTCTTTCTTCTAGCAACCCTTCCCCTTCGATCGTAACAACTCTCATTTCATGGTATCCACAAATCGCTCGGCCTGTCCATTCGATTGCGGGTGATATGGTGCGGTCTTCAGGTGTTCGATTCCATTGCGTGCACAAAACTCAGCAAACTGATAAGACGTGAGTTGTGGCCCGTTATATGCCATAACGGTTTCTGGTAGGTCATGCTGGCCAAAATTGCGTCTCAATGCGTGTAGTGTACTGCTCGCTGACGTGTTCTGTATCATGGTAACTCCCCGCCACTTGAAATATGCATCGATAACAATAAGGAATGAAACTCCTTCAACCGGTCCAGCAAAATCCACATGAATCTGTGACTAGTGTGATTCCGGCTCGGTCCAAGACTACAGTGTCGTGCGTACCGGCGACTTGTAAGCATACGCGCATCTTGAACAGACACTACCAATATCTTCAAATTTCGGTCAAAAGACGTAGCTCAGAGCCAATACCTACATTCGAGTAATTTCTGGATGCTTTAAACCGTGTTTCCCCAGGATGTAAAGTACCATGACGCGATCGATGAAGAACAGACAAGAATTAATTTCTGACAAAGAATCGCGTCGCTTGTGAAACTGGACAACTTCTTTTTTTGGACATTTCCTTGGCCAGCCATGTCTAATGTAGGTCAGGTCTTTTTGTAGCAGCGGGTCACGTCTTCTGACTTCTTGAACTATCTTGGCTTTAATCGGTAAGGTGTTCACGACATCATGCGTCAAATAAATGGCATCTGTTTCAGCTGTGATTGTGGCAAAGACTGCACCTTCGGGTTCGCACCTGCCAGTATCGAGTAGCCTGGATAAAGCGCCTGCTTCCTCGATAGAATCAGTTGAAAAATATTTCATGGCATAACCATAACCATGAATTCGACGATTTGTATTTTAATGCAGCTTTCAGACATCTGCATAAACAAATAAACTAAGTGCTCTTAACCTATGCAGCTGTTCACCGACTTTGAAGGTTGCTGTTTTCCTGGCTTAGATGCGTCCTAGACTACATACATAGTTCTAACATTAGCCTAGGGTCCGCTTGCAATCTCCACTTGCTTATAGTAACTAACCTGGGTACAAAATGTCTGATCCATTCGCCTGCAGGACTTTCTCATTCAATTGTTACGCTCCTGCGCTTTCGGGCACCCTGGCCCTCAGCCGCGTGAATCTGGGAAGGATTTCAACGATGGTGGCTCACGTAACGGTCTTCATTGGGTGCACTGTCTGCTACCAGTGAACAATGCAGTGCTGTACCAACTCAACCCACACCGCGACCGTCACGAGCACAACGGGCAAAGATCTCATCTGACACAGAGTCCAGTCCGAATTTGTGTAAACCTCATTCGTGCTCAGCTGCGTGGCTTGAATTTGATAACCATCCTTCGTGGTGCCAGAAATGCCTCCTTGGGCGCACCACAAATTGAACGTCCATCTGAGGATATCTCGGATACAAAGGAGGTTAGCAAAGAAACTGGTATTCAGGTAATTTTCCGGTGCGCTGCACATATTCAATCGTAGGTTCCATTTTCCCGTACACCAGTGGGCGTTATTAGCGACTGGAAATTTGCCCGTTATGGGCGTATTAAAGCCCATTCTTGAGTTGACTCAGGTTCCATCTTTTCAGGCTATTCGATGATGGATGGAAATACTTCGTTTCGTGAGAAAACACCGTCGCTCTATGTGTTAGAGTGGGGATAATAATTTACTTACGTAAACTATCACCACTACAAACTCAGCTTGCTGTACTTATTTTCGCATGTTATTTCGTTGAATCCACTGACTGTTTACTGCCGTTGTTTCTGAGTGCGGAACCCTGTCTCAATCGGACACTAAAGATGTCACATTCCTTTCTTTGTAGGTATCAAACTTGTTTATCAGTTGTTCACTTATTGGCTTCGTCTTTTCGCACGCTTTCAGTGATCCAGTTGGTTTTATATTTGCACGTCACGTGACGGCACCGTGTCCCCATGAAGCAAGCCCTGAATCCTGGTGTTACACGTTCGAGTTCTCACCGCCATTATTGGGTGGAAGCAACCGTGGGGCCCGACACAACAGTATGGCCTCAGCAAACATTCACCCCGTCAACATACTTTTTACAATAGTCCTTCGGCTTTTGACCCGGACGCCACAGAAACTCGGTACCGTTTATCAATTTACTACGCTACTTATCAAACACTCTCTCTGGTAAATAGCCTAGGCCTACTAATGAGCAAACGGTGGTAAATCAAAAAAATTTTCCGAAGATTTCGTAGTACTTTTCCTTGATGGGTGCACCACTTCCCCAGAACCCATAGAAAGTACATGTACTTCAATTGAGCGGAGGTGCGTGCTTTTCATCGGATATTACGGCTTTATCAATCGATAGCCAACACTGAATGCATGGTTAGATAGTCATATAAACAGTCCGTTGAGCAACTAGGGTTCGAAACGCCTGACGAATTGTAACCGCAGGCAGACAGAAATCCGATTTAGCAGCTCGGTTCCGGTGGACCAGCGCGCATTCTTCCCCTGTGTTAGGATGCGGAAGGAGGAGAGCATAAATAAATGGACCAGGGTTGTCTCTTCAAAGCGTTGCCTGGTGAGTGTAACCCGTTCTTTTTGGACCTACCTGACTACTAACACTCACTCACTACTCTGTCTCCCCCAGTTGATTCAAGCTCTGATATGGTCAGTTCGGTTCTCCTCCCAGGCCTGTGTCATTGGTGCGCGTCAAGTAAGTGCTTGACAAACTATCATTTACCACCTCTCACTGCCCTTCCTACCTACCAGCTTGAGGTAACCCAGTCTCCAATATACGAGAAATAAGTACTGATGTTACTTCCTGGCTCTTCCACTCTGATAGAAACGACATCTAGACATTGCGTCCTCAGTTATGGTTAGTTTGTAAGCCAAATACAAATACCGCCTTAATCAGTTGAAAGTTACCACTGGGTCAGCCCTCGCAGTGGTATTGCTACAGCCAGATGGTAGTTGGTAAGTACTACCACATGATTCGAATTTAACCTGAAAACGACACCTGAAGAACTGCAGCTAAGTATCACATTGATTGAACAAATCAGGTACCAGAGCACCGTGCATATTCCTTTTTATACTGATAACCAATAGTAACGGAGGACGCATGACACGATTATCAAATACATGGGAGCGAAACCGCGCAGCTGATTCGTAACAAACCAACTCCCACGTTATCCACGAAACCTCAAACTCAAATGAAGGGCACGTGTAAAAAGGCGTCGTATTGCGAGTGCGATTGCTAAAGTCACGCAAAAATATACCACTTATACGCAAGCTAGCGTATTGTACCAGGCATTTAGCGTGAAGCATTTTCGAAATCGCGTGCAGTGCTTTCAAGTTAGTGAGGCTAAGAACGCTGTTTTTGCGTTGTTGACAATCTCATTGGTCATGGGACGTTAGCCAATGGGACACCGGTTGGAAGCCCCCAGCATAAGCGACAGACAATCCAATGAAAGTGGTCGAACATCACCTACTGTTCTGTCTGGATGCTCATCTGAAGCAAACCTCGATGATTAGTCTCCAAACTGAAACCGTCCAATGGGTAACTTGTGATGCCTGTCTAAGGAAGAGATCCTAGCTACCACATGATCCGAAGCATACGCCGTAACCAGTGCGGACAGACATAGTAATCAGCACATGAAGCGGTCTATCCTGATTGATAGCTAGCGGCTACCTGGTGGTGGATTATTACGCGGCCTAACCATGTTGGCGTAGACATGCAATCTTCTTTAGAAATCCGTGAGAATATTTGTAGCTCGGGATGCGGATGACAGTATGCGGGTGTTCTCCGAGCTGGCTGATTTGGCTGCAATCGTCTCATCGTCAGACTAGACGACATCATCAGTGCGATTTATGCGGGCCACTTGCAGATCCAAGTGATTATTGTTCACTTGATTCGAACGTCAGGAGTCGATTGGTCCACGTGAACTGACCGTGTAGTCAGCTCTCTCGTACTGTAGGCTAGAGTCCGCCTCAATGCTGTTCCTTCGTTCCGTTGATCTGGGGCGGACTGTTCTTTTGACCCTCAGTGTCTCATAGGCAGTGTCTAGATCTAAGTGCCTGTTGATTGAGTTCTCTCCCGAGTACCAAGCCTCGATGAACTCGCGTGCTTTTCGACGTTTTGCTCTGCCTATGATCCTGATATTCTCCAAATCAACTTGATGATTCTCGGCGTCCATATGTACCGACATCAGGGAGTTCTGATCATGTCGGCGGATGGCAAGGTTATGTTCATGTAGCCTAGTGCCGAGCTTTCTTCCTGTCTGGCCCACATAGTATTTGTTACAATTTTTGCAGTGGATTTTGTAAATCACAACGCTTGTTTCTTTTATGCCAAGCCGGTCCTTGCCATTGAAGAGGTTGTCTCTGATGGTTTCTGTCGGCTTGTGAGCAACTCTGATTCCGAAAGATCGTAGGAGTCTCGCCGCCATCTCAGAGATGCCGTTGATGTATGGTAGAGTGATTGTCCTTTTATCCGTTTCTGATGTTTGTTCTTCTGTCCGTCGTTGTATTGGTGTTAAACAACGTAGAATGAAATTTCTAGGATACCCATTCCGTGTAAACATTTCGAACAGATGATCTTCCTGCGCTTTTCTCAGCTGTGGGGTGCTGCAATGCATCTGTGCTCTTTTAAATAGAGTTGTTACGCAGCTGCGCTTGTAGACTGTTGGATGATTGCTGCGATAATTCAAGATTTGGTCTGTATGTGTCGTTTTCCGATAAACTGTTGTCTCCAGTTGTCCAGCAGCATGTCTTTTCACTAAAACATCCAAGAATGGTAACTGACAATTGCTCTCTTCTGCTTTTGTGAAACGGATACCAGCAAACGTGTTGTTTATTAGCTGATGTGTTTCTTCCACTTTTGAGCGCTTTAGGATGACAAAAGTATCGTCCACGTAGCGTAGCCAGAATTTAGGTTTTGCGATCGGGAGTGCGATTTCTTCCAATACTTGCATCACCGCTTCGGCCACTAGTCCAGATATCGGTGAACCCATTGGCGTGTCTGTTATTTGTTCGTAGATTCGGCCGTTGTAACTAAAGTGTGTCGTGGGGTATAAATCCAACAACTCCATAATGTGGATGGCATCTATTTTATTGTTCGTGTCTGAGGATCCGCGTTGGTCTAGTAGTCTTGACATTGTTTGCTTCGCCAGATTGGTGTTGATTGAAGTAAACAGAGCTGTTACATCAAAGAAACCATGATTTCGTCCTCTTCTATTGTGAAAAGACATGCTGCTGGACAACTGGAGACAACAGTTTATCGGAAAACGACACATACAGACCAAATCTTGAATTATCGCAGCAATCATCCAACAGTCTACAAGCGCAGCTGCGTAACAACTCTATTTAAAAGAGCACAGATGCATTGCAGCACCCCACAGCTGAGAAAAGCGCAGGAAGATCATCTGTTCGAAATGTTTACACGGAATGGGTATCCTAGAAATTTCATTCTACGTTGTTTAACACCAATACAACGACGGACAGAAGAACAAACATCAGAAACGGATAAAAGGACAATCACTCTACCATACATCAACGGCATCTCTGAGATGGCGGCGAGACTCCTACGATCTTTCGGAATCAGAGTTGCTCACAAGCCGACAGAAACCATCAGAGACAACCTCTTCAATGGCAAGGACCGGCTTGGCATAAAAGAAACAAGCGTTGTGATTTACAAAATCCACTGCAAAAATTGTAACAAATACTATGTGGGCCAGACAGGAAGAAAGCTCGGCACTAGGCTACATGAACATAACCTTGCCATCCGCCGACATGATCAGAACTCCCTGATGTCGGTACATATGGACGCCGAGAATCATCAAGTTGATTTGGAGAATGTCAGGATCATAGGCAGAGCAAAACGTCGAAAAGCACGCGAGTTCATCGAGGCTTGGTACTCGGGAGAGAACTCAATCAACAGGCACTTAGATCTAGACACTGCCTATGAGACACTGCAGGGTCAAAAGAACAGTCCGCCCCAGATCAACTGGACGAAGGAACAGCATTGAGGCGGACTCTAGCCTACAGTACGAGAGAGCTGACTACACGGTCAGTTCACGTGGACCAATCGACTCCTGACGTTCGAATCAAGTGAACAATAATCACTTGGATCTGCAAGTGGCCCGCATAAATCGCACTGATGATGTCGTCTAGTCTGACGATGAGACGATTGCAGCCAAATCAGCCAGCTCGGAGAACACCCGCATACTGTCATCCGCATCCCGAGCTACAAATATTCTCACGGATTTCTAAAGAAGATTGCATGTCTACGCCAACATGGTTAGGCCGCGTAATAATCCACCACCAGGTAGCCGCTAGCTATCAATCAGGATAGACCGCTTCATGTGCTGATTACTATGTCTGTCCGCACTGGTTCCGGCGTATGCTTCGGATCATGTGGTAGCTAGGATCTCTTCCTTCGACAGGCATCACAAGTTACCCATTGGACGGTTTCAGTTTGGAGACTAATCATCGAGGTTTGCTTCAGATGAGCATCCAGACAGAACAGTAGGTGATGTTCGACCACTTTCATTGGATTGTCTGTCGCTTATGCTGGGGGCTTCCAACCGGTGTCCCATTGGCTAACGTCCCATGACCAATGAGATTGTCAACAACGCAAAAACAGCGTTCTTAGCCTCACTAACTTGAAAGCACTGCACGCGATTTCGAAAATGTGTCACGCTAATATTCCTGCAAAATGTTGTACACGATAATTCCACGTTGATGTACTGCAAATGCCGTAATAGTGGATGAGCTCTGCCATCTGGTATTTGGTTACCCATCGTCTAATTTATGCTCGGGTTTTTCTTACGGTTGAGTCTTGGTGGACGAATGTTTGCACCACACGCAGTTGCTGCGTGTTGAGCTTAGGCAGAATGTGCTCAAATGCCTTCTTTGGTACCGGACGTGACATCTAATTGCAGAAAATGGTTGTATGGTTTTTGAGACCACACGCTGGTCATGTAATTTGTTTCTGAAAATATCACTGCATGATCCTATGTGCTAAAAGCCGAGGTGGATAAGAGGAGGGGCCCGCGCAAGCGTATTGATAGACATCCCGACAATCCCCTATCTTGCTACTCACCGAAGTGAAACGGTGGTGCACGCTGCGACCGAACTAACTGGATCAGTGTGGGAACTGTTAGCATTGCAATATGGAGCGCAAAGTGGTACAACGGGCTAAGATGAAGTTTTCTTCGAATCAAGCAAAACGAAAACAGAGGTTCATGAAATTTTAATGCATGTGTATGGTGTTGAAGCAGTGAGTAATAAGTGTGCGTTTGAGTAGGCCAAACGCTTTATGGGCAAACAGGAAGGTACCGAGGATGAGCCACCTTCGTGTCAATCGTCAACAAGCATCATCACAGACAGCAGCAAACGACTACGACGGATGATTGCGGGTGATCGGCGGCTGCCTTTAAGAATGATAGCAGAATATTTGAAGGAAAGTGAAGGTAGTGTGAGTAGTGTTGTACATAAAATTTACAAAGCGGTAGCTTTGTGTTGGGTTTGTACCGCACACACTGACGGAAGTGCAAAAGCAGACTCGGATGGAGAAGTCTGGATATTTCATCGACATGTCTGATCGGAATCCGCAATTTTTGGAAGCGAGCATTACAGGAGATGAGACCTGCTGCTACCAATAATATCCGGAGACCGAGCGACAGTGGCATGCTTGGCATCGGGTTAAATTAGCCC